ACATTAGTATATGATGGAGCCAGCTTTATAGATTAGCAGGCACAGGCTACCAGCTGGGAAACAGTGCAGACTAAGAAAAGGCACTGGATCCCACAGGAGTTAAACTTGTATTTATCACCTTTAATGTTACTATAAAGTTATAGCCATGATTTATGGTGGAGGTTATTTTAAAAATAAACATGTCTCTAATATAGGTTGTTTTTATTCAGCACAGACAGAAGGAGGTTAAATCATGTTAGGTTTATGTTTTATACATCATTTGCACTGTTATTTTGTTAGCCAGATTAGAGAGAGTAGATGGCCTTCCTTCACATTGTGGATGTCACTGTGTGTACAGAGGTCATCTAATCAGGACAGCCTTCGTGTCTTTAAGAATACACAGGATATGGGAACATCTTGGAGCCGGACTGATAGAGGAGAGCTATCTGTAATCCTTGGGCATGGATGGCGTGTCAGTTTCTGATATGGACAGCTAAGCATCCATCTGGTGCAACACATAGACTCATGAGCTATAAGAAGGAGAAGATGACCTTGTTCGGGGCTCAATCTTTGCCGGACGCTCACGGACGTGATTTTTGAGCCCACAGCTGTGCAAGCTCCAAGCATTTTCTCTGTCCTGTAACGACCTGATCTGGAATAAACTCTGTTACTTTTTACTCCTGTTTTTATGGTCCTAGTAAATAACTTGCTCCCAGGAAGAGAACCGTGAGGAAGCCCCTGAGGCACAACGGCTTTTTTAGGGGACATAACTTCCTCATTTAACAATCAGTTACAACATTAGGGGTAGAAAACCTTTTTGTCTCTGTAGAAAAATCCTTTAATTAACGAGAGATAAAGTATCAGGAATAAAATATTATCAACTAGCTTGTTCCAAAGTAAATTAAGGGGCAGATGGTCTCTATACAGCCCTCCAGGCCGTCTGCACATAAAAAACAGATTATAGTTGTTTTTATGAATAAGCAATAATGTTTTTTTTATGTTTAACCCAATTAAATAAACTTTCCTGAACCAAGCGCTATTGTCTCCTAGTCCTTCCTGAAGCTGCAACTCATGAAAAAATGATAAATTATGTTATTTTACGCTGCCATGATTAAGACATTTTTAAAAACTGGTCNCAACGGCTTTTTTAGGGGACATAACTTCCTCATTTAACAATCAGTTACAACATTAGGGGTAGAAAACCTTTTTGTCTCTGTAGAAAAATCCTTTAATTAACGAGAGATAAAGTATCAGGAATAAAATATTATCAACTAGCTTGTTCCAAAGTAAATTAAGGGGCAGATGGTCTCTATACAGCCCTCCAGGCCGTCTGCACATAAAAAACAGATTATAGTTGTTTTTATGAATAAGCAATAATGTTTTTTTTATGTTTAACCCAATTAAATAAACTTTCCTGAACCAAGCGCTATTGTCTCCTAGTCCTTCCTGAAGCTGCAACTCATGAAAAAATGATAAATTATGTTATTTTACGCTGCCATGATTAAGACATTTTTAAAAACTGGTCATCACTTGGCTGTGGTGGAAATCTCCCTCCTGGGTCTGGGGTCCGTTTCTTCCTGGGGGTTAGGCTTAGCCCTGGAGAATAATGGAGAGCCATCCAGGACTGAAGCAGCAAGGATCATTGACCTTGGTCAAACAAAAGGGAGGTAAAGTACCCTAAAAGAAAGGAACATCAAAGAAAACAATGTCAAGAAAGAAAGAACCCTTTTCTAAATCATTTATAGCTGAATACATTTGTCGTTAACTAGAGGAGCTTTTTATACAGCTGAGAACTAGAATGGAGAAAACTGCATTTCATGGAAGTACAGCAAAATATGTACAACAGGATGCGCTGTATGAGTAATTTTTGTTCTACTGGTACATTTCTTTAATATTTAACTCAGAGTTAGATGTTAGGATTAGATGCAAACTGCCCCAGTGGCCTTATTGGATAGGGCACTTGCCTCCTAAGCCAGGGATTGTGGGTTTGAGTCCCATCTGGGGTAAATATGGAAATATGCAGAACACATGAGAACATCAACTTCTACTAATTGTCATATGGATTAAGCATAGGGTTTGAATCCCACAGCCTGGACTTTTTGAAAAAATACCCTTATCCCCACACAGCTCCCCAAGGGAAGGGTTAAGTGTCCTTGCCCCTTTTGCTGCTGTGTAATTGTGACAATGTAATGACAATTAAAAAAAAAAAAACATTAAAGACTGTTTTAAGTTTTCAGTTTGTAAATGTAACAACATTGAATTCAGTCTTTAATGAACTTTTAAAGATCAAATAAAGGCTCAAATAATCAAAAACAGGCTTTAAATGATTTCTACTTAAGTGCAGAATGAAATAATCCAGCTTTGAAGATTTTAGTTTTT